GTTAGGTCAATTTGGTAGAAGATGTTGGCGGAGTGGTTGTGAGTATTTATAGATGTACAGAGAGGGGAGAAAAATGAGGACAGGTGTGGTTGTGTGGGAAAGGAGGAGGAAGGATCTAACGGATTGTTTTATTGACCATTGAATTGATTTGATTTGGGATCAGGAAGCCGCCTTTTCATACCCTTCACTTATTAATTATTATTATTATCATTGTAATAGACTTCTCGGCCTCTTACTCGTGCGTGCACTGATCATTCCTTGCTCACCAATTATTTCCCACGTGGCATGGCCTTGAATTTTTTTCTTTTTGGTTGGTTTTGGTTGTTGCCTTGTGCGGGGCAGCATTCAGCTGACCCACTTGCAAATTTGGAAAAAGAAGTAGAGACAAAGTTAGCAATAATTATTTTAATTTTTTTTTTTAAAAGGAATGCTTATAAAGATTTGGAGATTTTGGTGTGACAACACTAAATATCTTCATTAAAATTCTTTAAATTCAAAATTTATTTAATAAATTTTATTATGCTCCTACGCATCATCCCTTTCATCATTTTTCGGTACATGAGCTTTACCATGAGACCCTACTATTATTACTCTCATGATTTTTTAACAACAAAGTTTATAAGTTCGTAATTGACTTTTTCACGTAATATATATACACATGCACATATCTTCGAATATTTGTAAATAATTATGTCATTGCTAGATCTCGTTTGAAAACAGATGTGTGGTGAAGAGGACATGGTACTGCTTCTAGATGATATTGACGTGATAGTAATAAATGTGTATGGATTATGCGTAAGGATGGCAATGCCTTAATCTCCACGCTGTACGATTACACATAAAATCCGTTCAGATTGGGAGGGGTTAAAAAAAGAAAATCAAATACATGCATTAATCTAGAAGGTGGACTTTAGAATTAAAAAAAAAAAACCCAAAGACAAATAATATAACCCGTTACTTGTTTATGAATATTATAGTAGCATTACATGATTTGGATAAACCTGGCTGTATAATTTATTTTGCGATATACTTAGCTTCTTGTGGATGCAAAATAACATGAAGAAGGAAAGAGAAGACTTATCTCAGTTATCTTGAAGTCTGAATTTGTCGTTTCCCTTTTATCATTATCCTAAAAATGTTAAATCCGCCTGAACTCATGCGGTTGCGTCAATTTTAAATTGGGTTCAACATTAACCTAACTTGATGTTTTGATCTCACTTGTCAATTCCAATTCAGTTTTGCATCAAATCCGGCTTGCCCAACTTCGCAGAATATATTTTACTATTTTAATTTTAATAGCTGTATATGTATCTCTAATTATTAAGGACTGAAATTGCTTTATTTTTATAAATTTAAATTCGAATCAAACAGGCATACGAGTGATAAAATTATGAAATTAAATAAAGATGGCCTTGTTATTTAACATTCAATAGATTAAAAAAAAACTCTAAAATCATTAACGTTTTAAAACAATGATGTGAATTTAAATGAGTAAATATTGAAGCTGTTTTTCAGCACAGCTTGCTTTAATTAGTTTTAATCTTTGGTCGTTGATTTTTCTTTAAAAAAATATGAAATTAACATGTGGTCAATGGCTCCAACCACGTTGGGCCTGTTCAAGGAAAGGGTTGCGCTATTATTGCTGACTGAGAGAAAAGAAGGAAGAAAGAGAAAAAGGATTCTAGAATTGGATAAAGTCGTTGCTTGCAGTAGGGAAAATAAACAATTTCTCGCAACTAGAACCATAATATAATATGTTGGCAAAAAAAAAAGAATCATAATATAATAAAATTGATTAATTTGAGTATATTAAAGAAATAAGTTAAATTAGTTATTTATAATAAATAGATGCTGTCTTTTATACAATGTCTTTACTAATCAAGTTTATTGACTACAACTATTATTGTTAAAAAGACTATCTTGAAAAAAAAGATAAATATAAAAGACAAAATGAATTGGGGTCTTACATTTATGACCAAAATAAAAATCAAACAAGATCTTGTATTATGGATTGGAGGTAGGATTATCCAACAAGTGACAATAATACAATACGCTGGTAAAAAATAATAATAATACGATACATTTTTTTTAGAAGAAAAAAAGGAACAATGATATGACAATGCTGGGTACAGATTGATAACAGCCAGGCAAATAATAATTCAACCCATGACACGGTCTGGTCTTCGCAATCCACATATTAAAAACTACCGCATAAAATATACAACGTGGGCCTTTGATGTTACCACTAAATTACATTAATCGTCAATATCACTATAAAAATAAATGTTTATTCAATCTGATATAAAAATATATAAAAAAAAATTCACTATGAATAGTGTTTCTCAGCATAAAAATTAAAAAATCATGGCAGATCTCAGCTCTTACAGTACTATTTATAAATGAATATTCATTATAAATGACCATAGCAAACCTTGTGATTTAAGAAGTTCTTATATATTTTGAGCCACGCTCTTGTAATACTACCTCCGGTCCTTAATATAAGACTCCATTTAATTTTTATTTTGATCCTAAATATAAGACCCCAATCCATTTTGTCTCTCATATTTATATATTTTTTTTCCCAAAATAAGTCTTCTAACAGTGATAGTTGTAGTTAATACACTTAATTAGTAAGGATATTTTAGAAAAGACAACACCTATTTAAGACAAATAACTAACTCAACTTACTTTTTTAATCTCCTTAAATTAGTCAACTGGCTCTTATAATTAGGACCGGAGGTAGTGTCATGCAAGTGCTATGCTTTCTTTTTTTTTTTTTCTTGTGGTGACAAAGGTTTGTATAATTTTTCACGACACTTATAACTACATCAAAGGCAAACTAACTAATAATCAAACAGGTTATCTAACGAGGCCCAAATATCCTTGGGCCACAATAGGCCCAAATTACCTTGGTCCAAGAAGGAGGCCCAACTTTTCCGAAATCAGTTGGTTCTATCAGTCAAAATCAAAATTTGGGCGCCGGAATACAACTTACTTCGGATCGTTCGAAACTAATTGGGTTTTCAACGTGGTCCATCCACCAGACAATGACTGGGCCAGTGCCCATTTTGGCCCATTCTCTTCTCAGGTGTATTTATTTTTAGCCATTTAAATTTAAATTTTATCATTTAATTTCATTTTCTAAATTTATTAATCTTATATGATTTGGCCCCAAAAAAATCAGTTAGCTATGCCTTAATACCCGTTGTTGTGGAGAATAAAATTAACTAAAAATATGAAATGAAACAAACAATAATGCTGCATCTATAAATTATATCTTGTTTTCATGGATTATATTTTAAAAAATAATCTTGAGTAATAAAAAATTCAAAAGTACAGATTGCCGAATAGGTAGTGTCATGGCATGTCCAGTACAGGACCCATGAAGGACGTTCTTGTGGTTTTAAACTTTTGTCTGTTCTAATTCCAAACTAGCTCATCTGCACACTGCACCGCATTGAATGCAATATAAGTGTTGCCCAATGCCTCCAAAGAGACAAAACTAGGGCCATCCAACCCAATTAAATGCATGAACATGTAGGCTCAGAGCAATATCCATCTGTAAATGAAGAAGAGAAGCTTAACTATTTATTTTGCTATATACTACTTTTAGTCTTAATTATAAAACCTTATATGTAGACCGCAAACAAGATTTTATAAATAGGACTGGAGGTAGTGTAGTTTACATTAAGTTCCAATTTTTAGCCTATTAAGATTTGAGTAGGTTGCTTTACTAATTGTATTGAGTATATGCTTTATGACTTCTCTTCCTCCGAATTCTAGTCTAGGCACCTTATTTACGAACATCTTGAAGTCACATATATAGCAGAAATGCAGTGCAGTCTCATGGTATATAGATGGTTTGGAGATTTATTGCCTCATCTTTATTAATATGAAAACAAATGAAAATGACGATTAGGGAATTGAATTTAGTTCGGAATTGTAAGAGCCAAAATGAGTACATACATATAACAAGTAGGGAAGGATTGAAAGTTGTGGGTGAATTATAGGAACTGTCAACAACCAAAGGGATAAAAATAGTATGAATTTACGGAGAGGAAATTGCGAGCATTTCGGGGAAGTCTGAGAAGAAGCTGTGGCTCTTGATGCTTCATTACTCCAATTTAATTACAAGGAATACAAAGCAGAAAATGGAGTATATAATTGAATCTGTTTGCAGCATAGAAAGCTTGGGACCATATACGAATAAGGAAGGGCCAGCCAAAGGGTTGGTGAACAAAATAATGGAGCTGTAATTGCCGAACTATTTATTAAAAGGGGACTTTTTTGCGAGACAGGAGAACCAGGCTGCCAAATGCCAATAGATGGACCACAAGTCAGGCCTCTCTCTGTGCTAATGACCAGAGAATTTCTTATGCCTCTTGCTTTCAATGTTGCTCTATTTATGTAACTCCGGCACCGTTATATCCTTTTTTTCTTATCTCTCAATCCGTGCCATAAATGCACCATTGCTCACGCTAATAGCCTAATCGCACGTCCATATTTATTTAAACGCGGCTTCTTTCAATTAATATAAGTAAATGTACATTCAATATTATTTGAAAATAGATTGAGAAAAAAGATATATTGAGTATATAAATATATTGTAGATTTCAATATGATCACTCTGTCGCTCTCTAAATACATAAACACGCATAGAATCCTATTTGTGATTATTCATTTATTTGTGTTCGTTTCATACCAGACCTTCATAACTACCTTGGTTTGCTTTTCTATGCAGTTAGAGATATTAGTCTTCATAGAGCAGAGAGGATTCAGAATCTGTGTTGTTCAGATCAAGTCATCAGACCGGTAAATCTGGTGCTCATGGTTTTGCTGAAATGCTTGATGTTGACCCAGAGACTCCAAGTTTGATTACTCTGGTAGGACGACGACGACGAGTTCAAGTCGTCAGATAATATTTGTTGAGAACTGATACTTTCCCATGGAGGTCTTAACCCAACATATGAGAGGTTGTATAAAGATTAAGCTCACTGAAGGGAAGACAAATGGCTATCTATATTCTTTATATGTAAGATCTACAGTAGTATACAAATAAGACCATGCACAGAAAACTAACAAAAATCATGTACATAGAAGGTATCTAAAAGTGAAGTCATATGGTATAATTTGTACAAATTGTGAGAGGGGCTGGGTTTTTCTTTTCTCAATGAACTTGATGGCTTCTTTCCCAAGTTCACTTGGTAACTGGAGGCAGATCCAATCCAGCAATGATTCCAAGTCTTTTGCAAAGTCTAATAAATACCAATCAAGTAGTTTTGGTATAGCAATCTTGGACGTTGAAATGTAAATTGCAGCCTGCAAGTACTCCCTTTTTGCGTCTTCCAGCTGGCTCTCAACCTGGGACGCTGTATAAATTCTCACCTTCATTCAACAAAATTTATGAATCAACACTAAGCCATGGACAAATGAATATATATAGCAGAAGCCTCATCGACATTGGGTTCCATAAAATTAATTTGGACAGGTATAGCTCGCATAAACATACAGCAGGAGAGGACCAAGTTCCACAGGAGAGTGCAAATGTCACTAGAGGTTCTGAAAATTCCAGTCCAAATATGCTTCTTGCTGTCATTTCATGACTCTTTGCTCCCTTGAGAAATGTCTGTATGGAATTTAGCAGCAAGAAGCTTGGTGAATGACTATTCCCGTTAAGCAGAATTTGAAATGAACAGGACTTACAAATTTCCAGTGGTAAGGAAGTCTTAGGATGAAATGTTCGATAGTGTTTGCACTTAGCAAGTGTCCACCCACATTTATTGTTGCCTGAATAACAAGATATTATCACAGAAATTTTAAGTACGTCTGTGCTTTGCTATCCTAAATGGAGAATAAACGAATTACATTGCCATTCTAACCAGAAAGAAATAGAAATAGTTCACACCTTCCGCATCAGTGAAACACCCATTTCAGGACTCTCAGGAATGCCATTCTCTATGAAGGCCTGAAGCAAATTACAATCTTGAGTACCTTCCTTAATGATTAATAAAGGGAATTGGAGGGGAAAACAAAAAGCATAGCATCGTGATAAACTTTTACTGTAAATGGAACGAAGAATAATCAAAGAAGTGGTGAGAGTAAAAGAAACTTTTAGAATCAGATAACACTAATGGACGACTGACGTACGTTCATCATACAGGAATTATAGATGTTGATCCAGAATGCAAGTTTCTCCTGGTGGTTGAGGCTTCCTAACTTGACGGAGGCAAGTTTCCTCAAAAGAATTCTGCAAATTTTGCCAAATCAGAACATTATGCCTTCCATATGAGACAAATAACAACTGTCATTAAATAAAAAAAAAATCAGTAATCCAGTTTGGATGGCACATAACATACTTTAATCTACACAGTAAAATCAAAGAATTTGCGGCTCGTTTTGGATTGAAAGATCTGGCTTCAATTGCACATAGCTGATTATATGGACCAGTAGCCTGCTTCCCAAATCCCAAACAGATACCATAAGGATCCCATCCTTCAACGTAGTTGTGAGTTTTCGGAGCCAATAACGATGACATGTCACCTGCAGGGCCGGGATTCTTCACTGAACTCATTCTCATGAGAATGGTTGATAAGCACTTCAAAATATTTTCAGAAATAATATTAGGGCTGTCATCTCCCAGTGCTTTTTCATGAGGACCAGGATTCCCTACTTCTGCCATTGATTTGTTTTTCACCCTTATTTCTGGCTGCAAATGATGAAAGCTGAAATTCATTGGCATAAAAAATTCCCTCGCGCCAACTTTGATCACACAGAGGCCAATTAGTTACATACCTGTCTCTTACGAGGATCCCAACACTTCTGCCCTGATTTATTATCATTTGAAAGTTTCTTGATTGGAATTTTAGTTGTTTGGCTGTTACATGAGAAATGCTTGCTTCTCTTGAAAGAATAAGTGCAGGATTCATTCTCCCTTCCTTGCCGATCTTCTGGCATGATAATCAAGAGGCACAAACCATAAGATTCCACTCTAACACAAACTACTCTTAAGAAATGAACGCTCTAAACTGACACAGATTAAGCTGAATCAGCAATCATAACAAAAAATGCTCACCAGGTAATGTGGTCGCAAGCCCATTTTAGATGTTGCTGGGTTATTCATTGTACGGGAAGAAGACTTCAATTTGACTTGTCTTGGGCTTCCAACTGAATTTGCATTGCTTACATTAGCTGAACGATCCATTCTTCTCTTAGAAGATGACAAGTAGACAGCTTCCTGGTACAAGTCCTGCCTGGATTGTACTACCTGCTCTTCAAGCCTAACAATTTCCTCTTCCAGAACTGCTACTTCAGCCAGAAGCGCTAGTATCTGCAAATATTGAAATTCAGCAGTCGGATAGCTGGACTAACATAACCCTTCTCCTCAAAATCCTTGAAAATCTTAGATTGTTAAATCTGCTTTTCAAATCACCTTTTAACAACTGATTGCTATCATGCTTCTTTTATATTCTCTTAGCAAAAAATATAAATGGTTTATTTCCTAATCTTGAGTTTTTTTTTTTTTTTTTTGCCAAGGAAAGAAACAGATAATATAAACGGAGATATGCTGACTGACGCAGGGGGGGAGATACGGAGGAAGACGAGGCAGAGCTCCCAAAGGTCTGTTAAAAGCCCTCTCCAATGCTCTGTGGATGTTCTCTTCATGCCTAAGCTTCATTTTCAACTCATGAATCTGAAATTCGGAGTCTACAGCTCAGTTTTGAATCAGACACCAGAAAATGAAACCCAAGAAAGAGAATGGAAAGAATGTCAATACATCTTGTTGCAATGACGTTATTCTATCTGTACCAGAGGCTTTTCCACCTTCGACTTTATTAGCAGCGCCCTTTCGCAAGCTTCCCTGCATTTCTGCCTTTTCATTCAAGGCTAAAGAGGTCAGAATCCACCTACGCAAATAAATAACAATGGCTAATATGAAATCCTAGAAGTTGAAAGTACGTGTCCAATGTCGGATTGAAAAACAGGGAAACGCGACGGAAACGGAAAGAGTGAAGTTTGAAAGCTTGATATTGGAAGCTCAATCATGTACTGCGAAAAACCAAGAAAAGGGAGAAACTGCAGCATCGTCTTTTTTTTTGTTTTGGTTGTAACTCTTCTTTCTAATGCATCTCCATTCGAGATTAGTATATATCGTGTTTTCAACAAAATAACGCTTACTTGTGAGAATTCCGGGATCTCTTAGCAAAGTGAGTTCACAGAAGCCGAAACCATATTTCTGAGTATAACTATTGGGCGGCAACGACAATTTAAGAGTCATTAACTTCGTTCACTGTACAAACCGTTTTTCAAAAAATGCATACACCATAAATGTACTCTGTTTTGACCACAATAAAGAATGGCAAGTTTTATTACTTTTCCAGTCGTAACCGGGGCTTTCATAGGGTACAGCCTAGTCCTGGCTTTGGTGTTCATCTTTTCCAGCTCTACTAAATCTGCAACCACCGAATCGCAAACTTGAAAAACAATTCGCATATACAGCATCCGTTTCTCAGAACACAAATCATCGAAACGCTAACGAATTGTCCGGATAAAGAGCGAACCTCTAACTTTAAAATTGGCAGTCGTTCAGTGCAGTGATCCAGCAGGAAACACGAACGCCATCGATACTAGCAAGCCTCAGCGAATGCGATGCAAAATAGAACTGTAAAGATTACAAATGGTGGATTCCAAGAAGAATAGCTGATGGAATGGAAATCAAAAGCAAGGGAGAGAGGAAAGACGATGAAGATGAGAGTTGCCACCGCAACCTGCGAGTGCGAAGAATATGTTCAAATAATAGATAGCGGTAGGAAGCGAGAGATAAGAGCAGGGTGGCTCAGTTAGTTTAATTTGATTCGCTAGAAAACGTTTTTCTATTTTATTTAATGGTTTGAGACGCATCGATCAAAGATTTGAGAGGTAAATTGAGTGATTTTACATACGAGAAAGACAAATCACAGGCGAATCTGTGAGGGAAGGCTCCTCCAATCACCACGTCCTTTTCATTCACTTCCCACTTTTTTAACCTCACCGCTCCAGCGCTCCTCAGGGCTCCCTCCTATTTTGCCTTTTCAGTAAAATAATAATTTTCCCTCATACTATTTTATAAATTTTAATTGAAGTTTATCTTAATATTTAATATGTTTTTTATTGTCATCCTTAATTATTTTCTTCTTATTATATTTCTCCACATATTCTCTTTCATCTTTTTCTTATTTATTATAGGGATATATTTAAAAATAAAAATATATTTTAAACTTATTTATTATTTTAACTAATATTAACTAATTATTTATTATTCGTGAATTGATTATTTAAAATTTCTAGGAGTAATAAATAATGATGTAATTATGTCTTGTTTTAATCAAATAATGATATAATATAGGCCGGGAATTGACGTTGAAACGGCAATGAGATGAGGATAATGTCCATGCCAAAATAGATGGTGCGAGCTCATAATTTTAATTTCTTATAATTTTTTTGTTTAATTTTTAATCAAATGTATACTATTTTTATATCAGTTTTTATAGTTTTATTACCTGATTAAAATATATGCTTCTACAATTTTTTATCAATTACATGGAATTATAAGGACCTAATTAAAAATTAAATAAAATTATAAATATTTTTGCTTTAATTTTGCCAATATTCAAGTATGAAAAAAAGGGTGTGACACTCTCATCACGTCCTCCTCCCAGCCACGTGACGGTGACTCCAAATCACAAACTGACGTTTCCTTCATTTTTAAAAGCGTTTCTATGAAAGAAAAGCAGATTAGGTGCTTATGATTGTGATTTATTTTTATCGTTACAGCTAATCCTCCATCATATTCCTCAAACACTATGCGTCTTTCCCTCTCATTGAAAGCCCTTGAAAGCTCCCTTTGATTATTCAATGTTTTTTCGACTTTTTTCGACTTGCGCAACATCTTTTATTCCATAGAGCTTGCTAGCCCATCTTTAACGACGTGTCAAATCTTAATCAAAAGCCTTTTTGAACCATTGACCAAGTTCCTAATACTGCTGTTGTTAACTGACTGTCGACGGAATAACTTGCTACTATAATAGTTACTTTCTTGGTTGATTTTGTAAGAGATAAATATGAATGTTTTTCCTTAAGTATAAAAACATTAAACCCAATGCATTTATTGCATTTTTTCAATTATGCCTCTATTAATTATATGGAATAATTAAGTTGGTGTAATTAATAAGTCATATATCAAACATTTAATGCGGTCAGAGATTTGCAGTAACACCAAGCACTCCACTTAATTTTTCTTTGTAATAGCTAAGGTAATAAGTGCATGAGTAGGTATATTCTATAAAAAGTTTCAAATTTGCCACATCCTAACTTTGGGTGAAAAATAGGGCATTGGCCCACTAAAATTACACTACTCATTTTATTAATTTTTATTCTATTATACATGTGACCATCTATGCACGTCAATAATTTGAATTTAATTAACATTTCTGTTTAAAAGTGTAAAGAGCATTATTGAACTACATTTAACTATACATGACCCGATGACTTAGCAAGTGCTCTCACTTTGATATTAATGGCTAGATTTGACATAAAAAAAGAATTAAAACATAAATTATCAACAAGTACGTAATTGTTTATACTTAATGATTCTGTTGGCCAGAAGAAAGTCACACTAAATCCAAATATGATATTTGGACTGTGACTAAAATTCCCATCCTTGATTGCTAGCTACATCTTGACTTTGATTCATGCTTAGCTTGCCCCTGAAAAAATTCCATATACGATATATCAACTCATACGTGGCTCATAAGGCGAAAGGAAAACTCAAAACAAACTCAATTACACCAACCTTCACCTAAATGAGTGAGTATTTTAGAAAACAAACAGATGCCAATAATTTTATAATCTAATGACATCTAAGTTTTCCTAATATTTAAAGGTTGTGAGTTTGGTCTCGCTTATAAACTCAAACTAATACTGCCTTTGGTCCTAATTATAAAACCCAGTTGACTAATTTGAGAAGATTAAGAAAAGAAGTTAAGTTAGTTATTTGTAATAAATAAGTGTTGTCTTTCCTAAAATATCCTTACTAATCAATTATATTGGCTAGAACTATAATTATTAGAAGGACTACCTTGGAAAAAAATGTATAAATATGAGAGATAAAGTAGATTGGGGTCTTATATTTATGACCAAAATAAAAGTCAAACAAGATCTTATATTAAGGACCGGAGGTAGTATTATCCGCCGCTTTAATTTTTTTTTAAAAAAAGAAAAGGGACAAAGAAACAGAGGATATGTAGGTAGGGTGAGAGAACTCCACTCTAACGTTGAGGATCCCAACTCCTTCCTACTAATAATGACACAAATTTCTCTTGCCAGCTGTGAGTGTTTGATTCAAGTTGGGCACTTCGGAGATCATGTAGTCTTAAACTTTTGTCTCTATTTTTTTCCCCAGTTAAAAATACATGATATTCGTCGTTGATGATCAGAATTCGGAGTTATTGAGGCATGAATTTAGAATGGGAATCGCTGGTCGGATCTTTTGTTGCTAGTTACAAAGAAGAAGAAAACAGAGAAACAGATAAGCCATTGTTTGACCAGTTATAAATTACATTCATGGATGAAGGAGGTGAATTATATATATATATATATATATTATATGACGATTTGTAACAGGAACAGAATTTGTTTGTAAGTTCCTGCCTCCGCTAGCACTCTGCGGATTCTTCTCTTGCTGTCACATGCAATATCAACCTCAGTACTATCAAACGGACAGGGCATGGCATATTTTGGAAAGTTAAGTGGTTAAAACCTTGCCAAGTAAAATACATATTCCTTTGTAGTTTAGTGCTTATTTTATTTTTATCAATACAATTTCAAGTTTATGTTATACGCCAAGCTTATCAGTTGATTTATTGTGTGAAACTCCTAAATTTTACAATAAGCCAAACCAACTGAAGCAAATAAAATGAGCAACGTAATTTATAAATACACACACATTGTTGCTGCAGGTATACGCGACAAAAATTGGGGTTGCTGCATCTTCTGTTTCTTCTGACATGAACTTGGTAACTAACAGTAATACCTTCTAGCTCCAGGAAGATCTCATTCTAGCCTATTTGCAATAACAAGCAAAACCGTGCCATACTGTGTACATCGAAAATTTGGTTTTAATGTGTAATACCCAACGAGTTAGTTGTTCCTAGAAGTTCCCTCTTTCAAGTCTTTGACATGGATAAAATGATAAAAGAGACCTGCTTTTTTATGCTTGGGATCAACGGCGTACACATAATGGGTTTATGTCCTTTTACTTTCTCTTCTTTACACCTCCACAAAGAGGGTTTGGTTTGAACGAGTGCTAATTCTGTACACTCTTTTGCTCATATGATCCATTCGGTCATGCTCGTGGACTAAAGCAACTACGAATCATTGTGTGCATAGTAGGTTCTATTAATTTCGTCATAAAAAACATTGCTGGGGAAGAAGATAAACGACAATGTATGTTAATGGGGACAACACAGGAGGCAATAATTGACTCTTGCACTGCTGATTATGTGACAATTTCACGAAAAGCACAGGGGGAAAAAAAAAATCTGCTTTAGTTGGGCTGGAAAGCATAGCCAGAATATCAGCAATGTGTTCATAAAAAGCAGAAATGTACCAGTCAGACCCACAACTGTCTCAAACACACACAGACACCTAGCGGCATAATGGCGTTAAGCACTTATATTATATATCACTAATTCATTCATAATATGGAAAGGATAGAGCAAGTTTAGATGGCCTCAATTAGTGCATATCTAAAATATTGAAAGGAATTCACAGAAAGTGAACAAGTTAATATTGTAGATTTAGAGCGCAAAGGTTGACCCTTGCTTGGAGGAAACGATTTGTGACTTGTTTAGTTTTTGGATACGATGGGTTGGGCGGTGGTGGGGATTGATGATGATGCTTCACGTTCCATAGAGGGGCTCATATCATATATGCCCCACTATGTACGTAATCTCTGCACAAAAGACATGCCATTCGCAAAAACATCACGTCGTCCAGATAATGTGAACCACAAGAAGCTTCTTTATCAGTGTGGGGGCTAGTTCCACATGAAGTCATCAAGCGGAGGGATGGTCATGCGTCCAAAATCATTGTCCCACTCGTATACAGGCCTGTCACAACTGTGAGTTTTTTTTTTTTTGCCCTTTTTCTATGTCTGTGGTTTATTATTATTATGATCGTACTTATAATAAAAAGAACAAGCTTCAACAGGACGCATTTTCAGTTTTAGTACTAGACATCATCTAATGATTTCGCACTCATGGGGAGGGTACCAGATTGGATGTCCGTAAGCAAGTGTGCCCACCGAGTAATTTAGCCATTATTTCCATTTAATTTTAGCCACATGGTGGGGATTAGAGTTTAGGCAACAGTAAGAGTGGCCACTGGCCAATGAATGATGGTTCAAAAAGATTCAGAAAATTAGCTTTGCTTCATTATATAAAGGTATTAAGATTGAAAGGTGGTGAGTGTGGCATGTCCGGTGCCCCTGGGTTTCTGGGAGTGTTGCTTTAGACAAAGGGAAAAGAAATAATGGGACTTTTTGTGGCTGCAGGCTCTGATAAAAGGTTAAAAGAAGATACATGCTGGAAACCAGATCCTTTTGTTTTGTTACTTTTTTGATTTGGGGCAGGGACAAGCTTTATGGTGTGCCTTCCCTGCCCCTGCTAAAATCATGAATAGTTCAGTGTCGTCGACAGCAAATCTGTTTCACTCCAGGACTAATGTGTGTGGACAACAATAATTAAGACGAGCAGAACTGCTGTTGCCATTTCTGAAAATTATTAGTTTATGAAATGACCGGTTGGTATCCCAAGCCAGTGAGCCACCAAGCTTAAAACAGTACACCATAATCAAAATACGAAGACCTTTTGCTACAACAGTGACGGTTACCACAGAAGCTATGTATTGTTCCAGCGAGCTGAGAGACTGAATGGATCTAACAAGCGACCTTCAGATATTCAGTCTATAGCAATGACACCACCCCAACTGAGTCATACCCATGAGATAATGGTCAGAATGAGAGAATCTAAAGTCGGGCAATCACTTATAAATGACAACAATTTCCATTGCCTCATAAACACAGGGAATGCTGCGGAGTACTCGGTTCATACGGAGAAGTATAAAATGAAGAGCTGGATTTTTTTTCAAACGAGATGAAGTGCCTGCATTTTTGTTTCGAGGAGTTCCTTTTCTAATGGAAGATAACTATTAGAAAGGAGGGAGGTGAAGCGAAAGATGGAGAGTAGAGAGATCAAATACCCGCAGCCCAGATTTGCCGACCGAGAAATAACACAGAATAACTGATAAATTGGCTGCTAGATCCCTAGAAAGTGGCGTATCAGATGTAAATGATGGGCTTGTCTGGCCCAAAAAAGAAATCAATATTACATCTACATGATTTGCAAGTTATAAATAATAAACGGTGCATCTTTTAAATTATACAACACATAAAATATTTAAATATAAAATAAAAAAATAGTGAAGCTTTTTCCTTTGTTTCCTATGGTATACAAAAGAAGATCCTTCACTCACTTTTAAGGTAGATACTCGATTGATGACGCCTTCATAATTAAAGCGTTTTTGGCCAACAAATAATAATTAAAGCGTTCTATGTCTCAGGGCATAATACCACTAAACTAAATTCAATAAAAAAATGTAATTAAAGAATGCATGATGTCCACATAGGCTAAGCAGCTGCATGAGTATAAATGCCTTCACCATGCACCAGATATACATTTGAACATGGATCAAGCGGAGCAGCAGTGATCAACGGAGATCTATACCCATATGTGGAAACATTAGTAAATGTTGCCCTTGATAATGGAAGAAAATCGTGGGGTTACAAGTAGACAGCAACGGTATTTACATACATATTTCTTTACGACAGGATCTTATCAGAGCCTCTGTCAGTAACCTCAAAAAACACATTACTGAGAAGAGGAAGGAGATCCATCCTCCATATGTCGAAGCACCGTATGACCGCTGCATCAACAACAGCTGGACGCATCAGCGGGTTGCAATGGAGAGGGCAGGCACGAATGTTACCGCAAAGAATCATCATATGATCCCAAGGCATCAAGAACGCTATCTACCCAGCTGTCAAAAGGAGCAAGCTTCATCAAAAACAAATAAAAAGACTATCACAGACACAGCATTCTAAGCTTAGATCTGTGATTACCCTTCAAGGCCTGGCTTCGATGGGTAGTACACCTGTTCAAACCCTAATGTTTTAGCCACTGCAGCAGTGGTCTCACCGATGCATGCAACTGACCCAGTCCAACCTGACTTTGAAACAAGATTCCTCCAGGCACTGTTATAGCAAAATTCATGAATTGGGTCTCAATCAACCTGTTTCTAATAAGATGATAAAACATATTTCCATGATTTTATTTAATACTACCTTTAATCCTTAATATAACAACTAGTTTGACATTCAGTTTGGTCTTAAATATAAAACTCCAATCCACTTTGTCTCTTATATCTATTTATTTTTTCTCAAGGTAACCCTTACAGTAATTACACATGTTAAATATTTCGTCAAATGGTAATCCTAACTAATACACATGATTAGCAAAGATATTTTAGAAAAAATAACACATTTATTACAAATAACTAACTTAACTAATTTTCTTAATCTACTCAAATTAATCAACTAACTTTCATATTAAAGACTAGAGGTGGCACCAGAATTCATCAAGATGCATGACCAAAGAAGGGGTGTTAAGAGGCCACTGCTGACTTATGCTTGAAGGAGGACACCTCAGACAATAAATTAATTTTTCTGTTTCAATTCAATTTAATCATGTTGCTTATTTGATAGGTCAAATTGGGAGTCATTTTAGAAGAATAAGGAACCTCAATCCTGCGGTTGCACTCAGTTTCAGATATTTTGTGATTTTTCCAGAATTTATTTAATTATTTTGTTGTGTTTCTGACTCAAGTGACTCTAAATTTCTGAAGCTGGTCATTGAGAAATAGAAGTTCAGTTTTCCCCATTTTGGAGATTCTCCTAAGTGTTTTTCTAGTAAGTAGTCTTAACGTGAGATTCTTGCTCTATTTTCTCTTGATAGATTTTCTCTCTTTGTAATTAGCTAAGCGTGCCGTTACCAAGGGGCCAAAACTGCGTCTCAGTTTTTAATTATGTTACTTCTTTGTAGGTTAGAACTGAATGATAATCTTTGGCAAATTTTAAAGAAAATTAAAGGCAAAGAAAGAAGCAAGAGATCAAAACAAGAAAAGAAACTCACCGAATTGCAGATGGTGAGGCTACCGCAACAACAGGTATATCAAGTGCCTGCTTTAAGATTCCTTGGTCAACGTGCTGAACTGGCACCTGACATACATGCAAGAACCAAGGGGCTAATGCTTATTTCTCATATAATATATCAGGTTAAAATATATATATATATATATATAAATAAATGAAAAGATCAACCCAGTTATTTTTCATCAGTGAATGTTATCGTGACAATAGATTATGACCCACTCTGAGGAAAACCATTTGCAATCTAAATTTTTCAGACATGACAAGAAAACATCTAGCAGACACCAGCGGGATTTAAAAGGAAATAATTGTGAAGCGACGTTGTTCCTTCTATCGCAAAATAAATGAACATGAGGGGGATAGAGTAGAGAAACGGCCAAGACCTCATGCAATTGTAACATTATCCTGCAAATTATAATGACCAAAAGAACCCCAGAAATTTTCCACCCACTTAGCCATGAAACGGACCAGCGGAACTTCAAGATCAGTACAAGTAAAATTACTATATTTACAATCAATCCAGTCAACTAATCATGAGGTACGACACCAGAATATGAAATACTCCAATACCTGCAAGGAAGAAGTTAAATGTTGAATTATATTTTCTCATTAAGGATTGAGGGAATCATGGATAAATAACTTACCGTTGTGTATGTATTCAACCTTGTAACCTCAAACCCACGGTTAGAAAGTCCTTCCTCTGATAAATATCAGAGAATTAATATGCCATCGTCTTTTACAATTATAACTATTAAAAAATAATTTCAAAATGGTAATACAGTATGAAATTAATAAATTGCAACCAAAATTGTTCGCTTACCAATCTCATTGCCAGCTTTTGCAGAAGCAGGATACAGCACAGTGCATTTATTTCCATTCAGTGGAAGCTCCGTAGCCAAAACCTTCCCTGTTGCTGAAGATTACCAGAAACACAGTGAGTCATTTCCAGATCATTAAGGTTCAAATGCCGGCTGAGCAAATGGAAAACTCTTTCTCTCCAAAACAACTCCGGGGAAAAAAAGAAAGAAAAGAAAGTCCACAAATCAAAATGCTTTATGGTGTAGACTCACTTTCAAGCTCTGTCCAAAGTAATACACATGCACTTACACATGTACACAAATCAACCAACATAAAGCATGGTTCCACTCTCCCTGGTTAAAAAGCTCATGATCTTTAGCTGTTCAACAAGATAATATTCTCCGTATCTATTTTGGAATTCATTGTCATAGTATGTTTTTATAGAATGCTTTAAATACTTTTACGAGCCAGAAAGAAACAAAATTGGGAATAATACAGTGCGAATGCAAAATTTTATCCCTTAAGTACAAGTCCAGATACCTTTTGATGGTGAAAAGGCAACATCAAGTGACTGCTTTGATGACAGCGAGGCTTCGTTGAACACACTTGCAGTACCAGCTCCAACAACGCCTATCTTGACATGGGGGGCCCCAGCAGCTCTGAAGACCACAAATAAGACTAAGACAATTCATGAGGGGAAAAAATGGTCCACAAAATTAAAAACTGAACAAAAGAGGAGATTTATTATAATGAATCGCCAAGTCAACTGTTTATAAAGCATATAAATGAGACTAGAGAAAAGGCATACATTTGCATCTTTGATAACTAATGAATCATAACCAATAGATATTGAAGATCACAGGCAACTGGATCAATTGTTACATGTCGCATATGATATCCAAAGTAAAACCAAGAAGTGGACATTTTGAGGGGAAAATGTATTAAAAATTTTCAGCAGAAAAACGAAGAAAGATATAAAGCCCCAAAAGAGTACCAGTGATAAAAAGTGCAATAAATTGGGCAAATGAAAGGAACTGTTTCATGTATAAATAGCGACTGTCTTCAGTTAGCAAAAGCTAACTCACCTCCATGCCTTTAGGAAAACTGAACCTGCTTCAGGGGATGTTATGACAATCCAGTCAAATGAATTATCTGCCATTATTGAGGGAAATGGCAAGAAATGAGTAAGTGTAAAGTGATGAGGCAGATTACTAAATGCATAACTCATGGATGAGTTGGCTAGCATACCCTTATGGTAAAACATGTGAAAATGACACTTCTAAGTTGATAACATCATTATAAAATCATAAATGTCAAACTCCCCATGCTTTTTAGATTCTAAATAGCAGATATCATATAAAAGCAGGAAGCCCCCACCCATTATCTAATGAAGTGTACTAGAAGCATACATGCAGAACTGAATGCCAAAGAACAAACATGCAGAGCTACATGTTTGGATTATATCAGCTAGAACCCGTATAAATAAATCTTACATGATAAGGATCAAGTTAAGTTTGCCTTTGATTGAACAATTGATATCTCAGTCATAAACAAAGGCATTGAGGTGATGGCGCATAAGGTAAAAGATGAAGTCCACCATTAAAACTCACCATTTAATACAGAAGCAAGTCTATCCATGTCGGGTCCCAATGTGTGCTCAATAAGTGGAAACTCCAAACAATTGATTTTATGTTTATTCTGCACTCCACACCAAACTATCCTTTTAGTATCAGTTAACTTGAAAATCTTCTAAGAGGCTACATTACACTTTTAGTTATCATTTTAATTCCACTTGATGTTATTCTGGACATGGTCTGGGCCAAAGATTCAATTGATCACCTTAGTGCATGGAATATTTTACCAAAATTTTCCCAATGGAAGAAGATAGAAAAAGGACAAAAATATAATAAGAAAACAATACGTGGGACATCAATTTAGATCGTCTGTTACCTAAGATCCTAATCACAGAAAAACATAGTCAACATAACGGTTCTATATAAAGGATTTACAGCCTAAGAATTGATGCATTACCACTTCAGCTATGCATACAGAAACGATCCTAAATGTTAAGCAGAGATCAATTAGAGATGAATTTTTTACTGGCTTCTAACTTTCTGTTCTCCTGGGGTGGAAATGAAAGACGGAACAAACAAAAACTTACAAATAAACTGATGGTCTGGGACAAACAAATGATCAAGTTCAAGTTAATACACGATATTGATTAGGCCCTATTTGTGCTAGAAAGAGCGACCAATTAAGCACAGTAGCCTACGTTCACTTAGTTATCTTCCCAAGCTTTTAAAGTTAACTTGTACCTGATGAAAGGGACTATCAAGCATTTAGAAAACTTGAAGGACTCGAATATCATATAGGAAGTTAAAATAACTAGGTCAGGTTTATGAAGCTGAACAAGCATGAACTTCAAAGTTCATCCAGCACGACTTCGTAAGTATAGCGACTTGAAACCCAGGCTGCGCTCATCAGCACTGGGGCAAACTATTGTTATTTGCACTTCTACATAAGCTTTTCAACGTAAACTACATTGGATAAAAGAAATTATCAGAAGTAGTTTGCAATAAGTTTAGGAACCTACATCATGGTCCAGATATTTTGTCTTTATAATATATACTTTCATCTTGTACTAAAACGTGCTTAAAGTTCTAGCAAGTTGCAAAATAATGATTCGAAATGCCAGTGAAAAAGCCGTATGGATTCAGAGAAATAAGGCAAGGAAAATGATCAAATGCACCGCGCTTTTCCGCCTTTAATCAACTACCTTGAAGACAGAATGGTGGTACCATTCCAAAAAAAAAAAAAAAGCGAATATATTCTGGATACAAGTCAAAGAGTAAACAATGAAGAACATTGCCGGATGACGGGAGGAACAAGTACAATAATGAGGGGCGCAACGGTGAGACTCTAAAATCAAACGCATTTACGGCAATCTAGAGGAACTAAACAGTTCATCAAAGAGCGAAGAAAATAGTGGTTCATGTGAACTGAGGGATGACAGAGAAGTAAGTACCAGAGCACTGATAAGCTTGCCATTCTTGCCACGCTCTCTGGTGACCACAACTTTCGGGGTCAAATTCGAAGTCGTCGGCGACAGCAATTCCGTTGCAGGAACAGAAGCACAACTGAATCTTGGAGGGCAAACCAAGGTTCGCCGGTGAAACAGAAGACGAGAAGGTGCGGACGCAGACGACAAAGGAGAGAGAGAAAGTGGAGCCATTGAAACGTGTTAGGCACAGAATGCTGTTTAGATGCAGGATGCCAGCTGTTATCTGATCAAGACGAGTGGCCTCATAATTAATTCCCAAATTTAGCATAAATATCCTGACGAAACCTTTGAAATAATGATGAGATTAGGGCACTAAATAAGGCGCCAATCCAATAGAATGAGACCACGAGGCTTTAGGCGGTTGGGCGGTGTCCACTGCTCGCCGACACGGTACCATCACAGTATTACCGGCAATCAGCCAGAGAGCGTGATAATTAACGGCGTAGATCTAAAGAGAAGGAAAACAGCATTTGCTGTTGGCGTGAAATGTCATGATTAGAGTTCTTTTGGTTTTGATAATTTTGCGTCCTGATTTCCCTACCCAACCCTAAGCTGCTGTGCACCCCTGGTCCCAACAGTTGCCACCTCATCCACCCCGCAGCTCAGAAATTCTAAAATATGCACAAATTCTTTCGTCACTTTTGATAAGAAACATTATCCATCACTCATTTTCATATCAATACATTCTTATCACACGATTTCAAAATATTCTTTTCACTACATATTCTTTCTTTCATAATTTTTTTTATTTTAATAATTTTTTATTCTCCTTTTTATATTCCCTCTACCTCATAAATAAATACATTTTTGAAAAAAAATACATTTTTTGACATACTATTGTTTCTAAAATTAGAGTAAAACATTTTGAACTAAACGTATTTTATTTTAATTATAAATATATCCTTTAGCGTAGAAAGACATGAAATTCACCTTTAAATCAATAGTTATTTGGTAAAAGCAATAATAAGAATTGCTTGGGTACCAATAAATAAGGTGTATTTGAGTCACGTCACAAATGTCTTAGCCAAACCTATTCATGGTTCAAGAGAAATTTTAGCTTCTTCTAAGTACTGATTAATTGAATCTCCTGTTCCATGTCTTATTTTAAGATGTTTCGTACACGAGCCTCTTCAAGCGGGAATCGCTGGATCTTATAGGGCGTGATTAGCGAGAGTTAATCCGCTAAAACAACGATAGCCATGTGTATATAACAAGGACAAAATACAATACTACCTTGGCTTTTTATTATGAATATAAGAGTTTGTTTGACTTTTAATTTAGTTTTAAATATAAGGTTCTAATATATCTTATCTTTCATGTTTATTCATTTTTTTTCTAAAGTAGTCCCTGTAATAATTGCATATGTTAAATATTTTATCAATTAATAATTCTAGCTTATATACATAATTAGTAAGAGTATTCTATGAAAGACAATACATATTTATAACAAATAACTAATTTAATTAATTTTTTTAGTCTTTCTAAATCAGTCAACTAGATCTTCTATTAAGGATATCAGGTAATATGTTTTTAGGCAGTTAAAAAGCCTTCTCTACGCGCTTCCCCTTTTTCCCCAATGCTTCACTTACTTTTATATTCGGCCATTAATCTGTGGTTAACTACCTAAATTTATTTTTATAAAAAAAAACCTCTCATTAACATAAATATTTATCTAGTAATTAATACTGCTTTCGACACTTTTTTTTTCCTTCTCAATTTGATATTTCCGTAAAATTTATTCATTTGAATTTAATATTTTAAAACATTCATTTAATATCCATGTACTTAATTACAGAGGATGAGGGAGGGTAGATGATCAGGTTACGATGACAGATTAATAGATTTAATTTTTTTCAACATGATTTTTAAATAATAAAATCGTGTTTCAGAATTTTTAATAACATATTCTTAATGACGTTAAAAATCAAATTAAAATTTACGTTTTATGAGATACAAGTGAAATTGCAAGGAGTTGACCAAAAAAAAAAAGTAAATCTGAAAGGAGACTGATGTATTTCACTCTTAAAAATTAACCACCATGATATCTTTTTTTTTTTTTGGAGTGAAAAACCATCATGATATCTTTCCGATGAAATAATTGTATTTATAGTGAATATTATAATTATAACGATGAGGGAAAGCATGAGGAAAGATTCAAAGTCACTCTCACTGGAGTATCAAGTAGTATTATTATGCAGATTAATTTAGGGCTGTAATAATTAGTGTACGTGAGATTAGTGGAGGCTCAACTTTCCTGGCCACATTAAATTGAATGAGGAGCGTTCTTCGGTTTCGGCATTGCCGCTGTCATCATGGTAACAAGTCCTACCAGAGATCGCCCATAGCGGAAAAGTAAATGGAGCAAATTAAAATATTTTACTCATGATAGCAACTTTCCCTCATGATTGTCGGTCGGCAGCTATATAAAGCAGCGCCATTTATGTCTAAACCATTATATGGACATAAAATATAAAATTTATAATACACAGAAAAAACTCATACATTTAGAAATATAATTAGATGCAAATTTAAATTCACCACCCCTTTACGGCTTTACCAAATCGGGACACGATTATATATATTCATCGTGAATAATTTATTCTATAGTCCTTCTTTTGCTATATATATATATATATATATGTATGTATATTGCATTCTGAACAGTTATTTCTACAAGCGCACTCAGCTGCGCGATATTGTAAACTGCGAATGTCCCTTTGTGCGATGAAAGGCCACATAAAATAGTACTCCAATAAATATGTTTTATTTATAAGTCATTTTATTTATAAGTCATTTTTAACATGTTTTATATAGACGAATAAAAATTTTAAACTTTATTGACTTTTATTTAAAATTCAACAACTTTCTAACTTTATCCTTATTTAATATAAATTATACCTCATATAAACAAAATCAACACAATAATAAACGAAGGGTAAATTCGTATATCAATACAAAAAATTTCTCTCAGTGTCTTATAAATAAGACCAAAAAAATATCTTTTCTTTCTACCTATAAATAGGACCAGAGGAGTATTTTGCATCTCCCAACTCCAATAAGACTATATTCCACAGCTACGTTGCTAGGAATATTTAAATTTATATTGACAGTGATAAACATCAGGCAATGACACAAATTTATTACTCCTCTGGTCCTATTGGTAAGTCTCATCTGGTCCTATTGATAAGTCACTTCTAACATGTTTTACACAAACCAAGAAAAATCTTAAATTTTATTAACTCCCATTTAAAATTTAACAACTTTTTAATTTTATCTCTATTTAATATACACTATACCTGATATAAATAAAGTCAATACAATAATAAATGAAAGATAAAATTGTATATTCATACAAAAATTTCTCCTAATACCCTATAAAACCCTATAAATAGGACCAGAGGAGTACATTTCATAAATTCCCCACTATAATTTCATTTCCTTTCATTGATAATGGTAATAATCATATTTCTTGTAATTACTCAAAAGTCAAATTGATTTAAGAAAATAAAAAATATAAAAAATATATCTTTAGATAATTATATTAAAAAGAGCCAGAAAAACAAAAATGGTATGCGTTTTGGGTAAAGGTGAGGTCATTATTCTCAGAGAATAATTATTATTTTTTTAAAATACTAACACTCATGCAGGACGGAGTAACAGAGTGCTTGGTAGTTGGTATGGGCCATCCAATTCCCGTCTGCGACATCCCGTCGGTAGTGATTTAATGAGCACTGCATTATCGGACTTGACACGAATGTTGTACTGCTTTTAAATTCCCCGGGAACGTATATCTGGGTTTCGATGTTTCGGGCATAACTTTGTTGAATCGTCAGACAGCAGAACCGCACTGACATTCATCCCGCCCAAAAGCGCCAAAAAAGAAGGAAAAAAAAAAACTGCACCTTAAAAGCGCTGGTTTGGGATACCCATATTCTTGTTCTGTTTTTCTTTCTGGGGTCTGGGACGTAGTCTCATCTGGCCACGTAAAGGAGTATTATAGTGAAACAAAACGATAATTTTAAAAATGATTTTACGATATATAAAAAATACGAAATAAATATATGAAAGAGTTTGTCTCGATTAAAAAAAAAACTATTTAAAAACACTTTTGTGATTTTCCAAACACTTCCTCAATTCATTTTGAGAGCTCTAATTTCCAATGAACCATTGAAAAGCGAAATAGGCATGTTAAGGAATTTAACTAGTAAGACCAAGAGCTTCAATTGGTAATGCCATCCAGCTCGTCTGAGTTGTTTCAAAACAGTAGGATACCGAGGGTTGCCTTAGATTCAAGAGTCACGGCCTAACTCTACAGGTGGCGCATAACATCTTGCCCATGCAGAGCTACAAACACAAATGGTTCATGAAGACAGGGACCTACGCTAGTAGTGTTCAGTTTTGGTTTATGCATATGTACTGAAACAGAGAATAATAACCGAGAAGCTTTAAAGCTAAGGCAGATATAGAGGCATACTTAGAACATAATTATTCCAACGACCAAGTTTAAGTTACTCATTACCCCTATATGTCTAAACAAATGATCAATTGAATCCCTAGCCAGCTACCTCAGGTTGTCAAAATTCAACTCCACTCCACAATTAGGAGGGATTCTTGAGATCTCAACAGATCAGGCGAGTTACAAGGGAGTGATGAGTTCCCCATGGAGGCGTGATGCTGTTGTGTAAGCTGCTCCAGCATTCCAGTCAGCTTACTTGTTGTTGGTGGCCCCCATATATGGGGTAAGAACCATATGCAGCAGCATATATTCTTGGGTCATGAGGTGGCGGCAAGGCATACCCATAACCATCATAAACAGGACCTCCATAATACGCCCCGCTCCAGTGGTTGCCAAAGTCGGCTCTAAACTGCTAGGAAACAGTAAATATGCGATTTAATATATGAACTTTAAAATTGTAACAAAATACTCATTATATTTCAAAACTTAAAGTATTAATTTCATAATTAGGTTATAATTCATTAGAAGAAAACGACCCATAAAAATATGTGTTAGATGCATTAAAAAAACTTTTGTGGTTTAAAAATTTCAGAAAATGCTCCTTTTAAAAAGTCACATAGGTGCAAGCAGCTGAGGACAAATTGAACTCTCAGACTTTGTGATATATTATGCAATACTGTAGTGTTCCTATGTGGATTAATTATCGAATGAAAATACTCCTCTAGATTAACAGGGGCGATAAAATAGCCATGAGAATGTGCGGAGGCATGCTTAAGAGAGACCGAAAGAAAGAGAAAGGAGTGTACCTGCTTATTTGCCGGATTGCGGCCCCAAGAAAGACGAACTGTTTGCTTGCCAATCACTGTCC